GTGGTGATCTCGAAGAGATTGGTTCAGTAACTTGTTGGTGTGTCGATAAGGTATAAGTGGATAGTCGTAATATGACATATGGACAGTTCACTCAAATACACAGCCTCAGAGGTAGACCCTCATGTGAGTGGTATTAGATGTATAAAATGCTACCATAATTATCGCGTAACTCAGATTTAACCAAGAGACTCATTAACTGATAATTGGTAGATTATCACCTAATGTAGAAACTATGAGTATTATAATAAGCTATAATCCATAATTAGTAAGGGATGACAATCATTAGTAATTTTGGATAACTACCAAGGGCATTTTGGTAAAGGACAGACATCAAGTTAGAAGGGAGAAGGCTCATAACTCATCTTCCATTCTCACTCTAGAACTTAGAGGAATCAAAAGAAAAGAGAGCTAGAGAGAGAAAGAGATGAAATTGGGGAAGAATGGGAAATTGGATCAAGCCTCTATTGCATGTAAAGATTGGATTTGTTTCGAAGAAGAATTCAAAGATTTTGCTTTAGAGTGAGAGCTTTATCAAGGTTGAATCAAAGGATTATCCAAGTTCATAATATTCATCATCATCTCCCAAAATATAGGTTATATCCTTTAAAGGTGAGGTTTCTAGTTAGAACTTGGGATTTAAGGGAAATTCTCATAGATTATGCATGTGCGATTTAGTGTTTGTGAAGCTTTGAATGCATGATAGATTAAAAATTGATCTTTGCATTGGTTTCCATAATATGATGTGTTCATAATTTCTAATTTTGAATGATAATGAAATCATGATTATGAACTCGTTGTAGTGATGTGTGTATTAGAGATTGATATATGTTGAAGTGTTCCTCACATGTCCATGAGTGATGATGTAATAACATAAATGTTTGTGTGTGCGTGTTGCATGTTCTGATTCGTGGTGTGGAATGAATTCTCATATGTTATAGCATACTTAAGGATGCTTGGATTGATGGAAAAATATGGTTAGAACTAGGATTTATGGAAAATTTGTAGGTGTAAATTGATTTAAATGGTGAGTAAATTGATTGATCGTATGAAGATTTGAAGAAATTTTGGAATTCCCAAAAGTAAATCGATTTACCCTCACAGGTAAATCTATTTACCGGCCTAAAATTTCAATTTTTCATGGCACATAGGGAGTGAATCGATTTAACCTCATACGTAATATGATTTACCTGCCCAGATTTTCAATTTTATCATGGCAGAAAGGGAGTAAATCTATTCACCCTCAATGTAAATCGATTGATGCCTTGTTTTTTTCTCTTCACATCTTCACCATTTTGCTCATGCTTATGTAATGGTTGACTTGTGTGTTCATGTACATGATGTATATCATGTAATATGCTATATTCTTATGATTTGAATGATAATAGCATGAGTTGGTAATGAAATGGAATGAACAGAGATCAATCCCTAATTGGTTGAATTATCATGAAAACCCTAATTGGGTGATGATCGTACTAGAATCTTGATTGATTCGGTTGTGATGGGGAAATCGCAGTTAGTTTCAAAAATGAATGTGAGTAACCATAGGTTATAATAAGTTAACCTAGTTTATGATACTCAAACTTGGAATGATACCTTAGTGTGTACCCGTGAATGAGTAGTCACTATAAGTGAATTGTTCTATATCCGAGAATTCCCTAGTTGGCATGGAAGTAGAATGACGGATTCATGGTGAGTCTAGTTGGACTTGTATGAGAAATAACACAACAATGTGATTGTTAAGAGTACTCGCGTAATTAGGAATAATCACTATTTGTACTTGTCCCGTGTTTGAGGCTTATGTAAAGTAGTAGCCGGGAAAGACGAGTCACCAAAAGATTGATTTTTGTGACCGTGTCTCGACCCATGTAAGTGGTGCTTGTAACAACCTAAAACCCTAACTCTTTATTTAGAAAAGATAAACAAATAATTTCTCATACATAGGTTTTACACATGCTCGAAAATTATTTAACAACATCATAATAAGAAATAGCAATGAAACTCAATTATTAATTATACTTGGTTGTCTCAATTAAAATAAAGTACTTCATATACTTAAATATCTCAGCTTCAAAAACACAAAACAAATAACAAAAATGTCGTCCCAGTGTTACAATACCAGAGGGACACGCAAAAACTAAAATAACTCGAAAAACAGTAAATCGAAGAAGGCTTCTACGTTATCCTCCAACTCACTGCAACTAAGACTCCTCTACTTGAGTATCTGTACTAGAAGGATACACACAACACAAAAACAACAAACATGGGTGACAATACGTTCAAAATATGTTAGCGGTGCAAAAGATGACAATGGTAGCATTATTCCTAACAATTACCAATTTATGAATGATTCACAACAATCTCAATCAATCTACAATGCAATTATGCGTGCAATGTGATCAACACCTCGGTCCTAATGCATGTGGTATCAACATTGGACATCTGAGCTATGTTACTGATATTTCCACTCACCAATGGTTCCGCTTCGAACCGGGTTCCACTTTGAACCTCAACCCATCACTGATCTCCCCTTTTGAACTAGCGACTCATCACGAGATCAAAGTTCACACATGTATCATCGACACACATGATGCATGTTATACAACAACAACATACACCGAAATAATCTCCACTTGTCCCTCTTCGAACCAGGCTCAACACGTATCAATAATTCACTTTTCCATGACGATTTATCATGAAAACTCAACATTAATGATTTAAATCATGTAAAATAATTAACAACTCATCAATTAATATCAAACAGTGTCATACAATGATAATCTTCACTTAACAGTACCAAACATTCACCAAAAATAGAACTATGTCGCAAAAGCCATTCGAAAACGACTATTTTGAACTGTCATCCTTACTAAGCGCATACGCCCAGAACAACAAAAACTAGAATGTGAATTTCCACCATTGAAGTCCTACAAAAGCTCCAATTTCAACCCCAAACCATCCAGATTGCCCAGAAAACATCACATATAATTCATACAAGGTTTATAACATCAATTAACCACTGATTCATCACATAAATTATCAATCCATCCCAAATCTAATCACATGTTTATTAAACCAACACGCACGAAATAAACATATAAAAAAATAGATTTTCACATACACATCATACACGGATTTCAGCAACATAACCACAACAACACAACAATGGAAAAATAGGAGAAAACAAAGTAGAGAGTGAGGATCTCTCTCTATCCTTCATGCAATTGACACCCATATAAGAGTAATCTCCCCTTACCCCAACTTTCTAGCAAAATCAAGCTTTAGCTATGACTTTTTTCTCCCTTCCTAACCCTTGCTTTGCTTCTTCTCACACTTGTCTCTTTCTCCTAATTTTTTTTAATTTTACGTTCTGTCAAAAAGAGCTCCACTAATCTCTTATTAACAATAACATAATATTCCTATTTTAATTAACTACACTCTCCCCCTAACTTATCTCTATTTTCACCATTTTCCCTTATTTTTCCAATAATTCTAATTTCCACCCAAACCTCAATAAACCCCACAATTAACAAATAAATCACATAAACACTTTATCACCAAAATAACATAAATAAAATTATTTTAAAATCCAATTATGATAATTAATTTGAAATTTGGGGTGTTACAGTGTTTGCCGGGGAAATATGATCCATCTGAGATGGACGTCAGTAACCGTGTCTCGATCCATGTAAGAGGTGCTTGTTGGGAAAATAATTTCGTCTAGTGTAGGAGTTTGTGACTCGTGTCTTGGCCCATGTAAGAAGTGCTTGTCGGGAAAAGACATTCCTCACTGATCGTAGATATTCATGACCTGTGTCCATATTCCCAGACATGGGATAGACGAGAAAATATAGTTTGATGTTAGCGGAAACATGCGTGACCCGTGTCCATTGTCCTAAAGATGGGATCGTTCGGGGAAAGGTGCTTCGTTGTAGGCGAAGATATTTGTGACCCGTGTCCATAGTCCTAGTGATGGAATTAGTCGGAGAAAGATGCTTCGTTGTTAATTTTCCGAGTTATTTAGACCATTCAGATTATTTAGACCATGTATCGTTATGTTACCATACGATGCGTGATTTTGTGGTTTCTAGATTTTCCGAACCGCCGTGTGATTGTATACATGTAAAACGGTAATGAATGATCTGTAAATCAAAATTTCCTATAAGAACCCTGTAGGGTCGATTAGACTCGTAAGATAGGAAACTCCAGTAAGATTTAGTAATCTCCCCCAATCATGTTGTTGTTTTCAAGTAAACTGTAGAAGCCAGAGAATTAGCAAGAAGGTTGAAGATCAAAATTTGACGTATTAAATCTCACATATCATGTACTTTGATGTAATACAATTTTAGATGTCATTAGATGATATTTGCTTAGTACCAAAATTTTAACAGTTTACGTAATACAATTTTTAGATAGTATATTGTGGGGTGTTACATTGATTCACAATATTAAAACACCAAGTACACATACTCTTCACCACATTCTATTTAATTGAAAGACTATCATGTATTAAACACCATTCTACTTTTCAAAATAGCAATTGCAGAGTAAATATCTAATTTGATCATTGATATCATAAAACTATATCAACTTAGCTTCCATATGATAAACATTACAAAATGATATCAAAATAGTAAAATGGTAGTAATTTGGTTCATCTTTCTGTTGTTGCTGTAATGGCAATAATGATATTAAACCTCGGCTTAACACTACTATGAGCCCATTGCAGACATCTGGTTAAGAGAAAAGTATCTCTTAACATCTAATCCAAACGTTCTCCGGTATTCCATGATAAATAAATATTATTAAAAATTCAGAACAGCATAAAAGAAATTAACAATAACCACAAACATAAACTTCAACTTCCAAGACCCAAGTAAAGTTTTCACCTAGGACATTCATCAAACACGTTGCGTGCACATTTATCCTCAAAAACTTTAACCACAATGACAAAACAAAAACACAGTAAATATCAAAATATCAAATACTGAATACAAATTGAACTAGTCTTCAATTATCCTCTCCTCCGAAACACGAGAATCCGCACCCATTGCAAAATCATTTTGTTGCTGCTGTTGTTGTTCTTGTTCTTCCGCTTTCATGGCAGTTTGAAAGTCGCGTATTCCGGTTCGCATCACATTCGCAATGAGTACTGCAACAAGAAGAAAAAAGTGTGTGAGTATTTTGTGAGGAGGAGAATGATTGAAGATGGAATGGAAGGAAAAAGAAAGGTACTAGCTGCAGTTCCGAATGTCCAAATCCAGAGGATCTTTAAACCAGGGCTTTTCTCTCTCCTTTGCATAATGAATTGAACTCAACTATGACAAGTTCCGAATGTCCAATGAATTACGTAAGTACATTAGATGTGGAAAATTTGATAGAATGAGTAATATATATTTTAATTTTACATAATTTTGTATTTTAAATTAAAAATGATTTTAAAATAAAAATATTAAATACATAAATAATAAAAAAACAAAATATTTTTATCATATTTGAATTAATACATTATTTTTATTTATAATTTTTTTAATTACACAAAAAATATATTAATCCGTACATTTACATAGATTTTAGTATGTTTATCCGTACGTTCGCACAGTACTGATATAATATATGTGCGTTTTTGTGTTAGTGGTGTATTTGAATCACTAATACACTTTTCCTCATATATAAAAGAAAAATTCAATACAAAACATATACGATTTTTCCGATATTTATATCATATATATTATTAGATTATCAATCAATAATAAATATCATTTAGATAAATTTTTAAAAATAATGATTTTTCTCTCGTTAAAATCATTCTTTTTATCCTTTAATACTTAAAAAAAACATTTTAAAGGATTTTATAAAATTAATTTTAATAAACTCTTGATTTGAAAATTTTCAACTATTATAATTGGAGTTTTATCTTTTTTCAATTTTTATATTTTTTTAAAATTATAAAATATTTTAGTGAAGTAAAACTTCAGAATATTTATATTTTACAATAACTTTTTCATATAAACATATGACATGATTCTTTAATTTTAGTTTAAAAATTCAAAGCTTCAGGTTTTTGACATTATAGCCATGAGTTGTGCAAAGATTGTAGAAAGATTGAAACTAAAACTATAAATATCAACATCACAAGAAATATGGACACGTAAAGAAAAAGATAATATTGCCGAATGAATGATTGGTATTATGCAAAGAGTCCTGTGCATAATTTGTTAATTGTTTTTGACGTTTATGCATTTGACGTTTTTCATTTGACGTTTTTCATTTATTAATTGTTTTTTCATAAGATGCAAACTCACAGTTTCGACAAAAATCTTGTTAGGTTAAGAGAAGAAAAGATGAATTGCATAGAGTTTAGGTTGAGAGAAAGAGATGAAATGCAGAGAATTTAGATTTTAGATCTATTTTAGTTACATAGAAGAGAGAGAAGGGGGGAAAGATAAGTTGAAGATATTAAAGAAGACGGTGTAAGCTTTGAAATCAGTTGTTGCATGTTGCTTTGGGAAGATGTGAAAGTTAACATTTGGTTCCATTAGAATTTTTTTTATCAAATGAAGTACAACATTTGGGAATTTTAAGGACAAAAGGCAAAAGATATATTTCATATTGGACCATGTTTGCTTAGTCACAAAAAAGTATTATTTGGACCAAAATTAACCCTCATTTCAATAGATGACAGATTTTGAGCAAAGGACATTAACGACTATTCCAAATACATTTCATTTCTTATATAGATAATTACAAACTAAAAATAATTTATAGCAAATCTAAAAAATAAAAATAAAACACACATAATTATGTATACAATTCGATCAAATCAGGAGATAGAGGAGTTTTTAGATCCTCTATATTTCAAGTGTTGTTATAAAAAATTTTAAGATAAGTTATAAGAAAATAATATTTCAAGTTTATCAGGACATTTTATATTTTTGACATAAGTGTTTATGATCTCTTATCTTTTTAGTAAATGAATCACACAACAACAATGTGTTTAAAAATGTTTATCAATACCTTTAGATATCAATGAATCTTATGAAAATTATAAATATAAAAATCTGAAACCTTATGAAATCATATTTGTAGACTAGATAGTTGTATACTGCTGTTAGCCTGCCACTCATCATGGCACAATTGATTTATCTTTGTCATGCCACTGCTCTGACCACCAACCACCACCACCTTACAATTCTGAAAACAAAATTCTAACTCTTACCACTTGAAATTTTGTAACATACCATGATATTTCATCTTGACCCAAAATCGATGATGATGTTTATTTAACCATCAATCACCGTGTTGTCTTCTCTATGTTAAGAAATAAGTGTGAGTTGTAAGTCCTATATTATTTAGAAAAGTGAATGTTTGACACTTTATAAGTGAGAGGACTCATATACCCAATGCCTTAAGATTTTGAATGAATTTGTGGTGTCTCTCTCACTTGTTTGAATGAGTCTTTGATCCAATGTGGATGCTTCCCCTAATGATAATCCATCACTTGTTTGGGTGAGTCTTTGGTCCAATGTGGATGTTTCCCATCATGATGATCCATCACTCTAAAGCTTAAATCATTATTCAACGAACTTGAACCTTGATCTAAGAACTTGCATCCACATGTATCCAACCACCTCCTATTTTTTAAAAGTCTCAAAAAGTCTCACCTAAGGTTTTTCCTCAGTGAATGCAATTCATCACTCAACGTCTTTAATCGTCTATGACTCCATTTTCTTTTGAATGCCTCCCTCAATGTCTTTGGTTATTAGTTTTGAACCTCTTTGGTGACATTCAAAACAAAACAAATAAGTTCAGCGTAAATGTATCTTAAAGGTGGCACAATTTTTGTCCTTACTCTATGTCACAGCGCGAAAAATACTTGAGTGTACGAGTGCTCGAAATACAACAGATTCTCCAACGAAGTTTATTTTTAAAGGAAAAACATCGATAAAACCCTAAAAGAACAAAAATATAGTCATCACGATCAATTTCAGATTCGGGAAATTATTGTGCGCGAGGAAGGTATTCGCACCCCACACATTTGTTGTACTCAACGAAAACCGTTTAACTAATTTTGTGAATAAGAGTATTAGCTTGCGTTATTTGTTTTATTTTGATTATCATGCGATTATTTACATAAATAAAGAAAAGGACATTAACGCTTATTCCAAGTACATTTCATTTCTTATATTATAGATAATTACAAACTAAAAATAATTTATAGCAAATCTAAAAAATAAAAAAAGAACACACATAATTATGTATACAATTCGATCAAATTGAGGAGATAGAGGAGTTTTTCGATCCTCTATATTTCAAGTGTTGTTATAAAAAATTTTAAGATGAGTTATAAGAAAATAATATTTCAAGTTTATCAGGACATTTTATATTTTTGACATAAGTGTTTATGATCTCTTATCTTTTTAGTATATGAATCACACAACAACAATGTGTTTAAAAATGTTTATCAATACCTTTAGATATCAATGAATATTATGAAAATTATAAATATAAAAATCTGAAACCTTATGAAATCATATTTGTAGACTAGATAGTTGTATACTGCTGCTAGCCTACCACTCATCAGGGCATAATTGATTTATATTTGTCATGCCACTGCTCCGACCATCAACCACCACCACCTTACAATGCTGAAAACAAAATTCTAACTCTTACCACTTGAAATTTTGTAACATACCATGATATTTCATCTTGACCCAAAATCGATGATGATATTTATTTAACCATCAATCACCGTGTTGTCTTCTCTATGTTAAGAAATAAGGGTGAGTTGTAAGTCCTATATTATTTAGAAAAGTGAATGTTTGACACTTTATAAGTGAGAGGACTCATATACTCAATGCCTTAAGATTTTGGGTGAATTTATGGTGTCTCTCTCACTTGTTTGGATGAGTCTTTGATCCAATGTGGATGCTTCCCCTAATGATAATCCATCACTTGTTTGGGTGAGTCTTTGGTCCAATGTGGATGTTTCCCATCATGATGATCCATCACTCTAAAGCTTAAATCATTATTCAACGAACTTGAACCTTGACCTAAGAACTTGCATCCACATGTATCCAACCACCTCCTATTTTTTTAAAGTCTCAAAAAGTCTCACCTAAGGTTTTTCCTCAGTGAATGCAATTCATCACTCAACGTCTTTAATCGTCTATGACTCCATTTTCTTTTGAATGTCTCCCTCAATGTCTTTGGTTATTAGTTTTGAACCTCTTTGGTGACATTCAAAACATAACAAATAAGTTCAGCGTAAATGTATCTTAGAGGTGGCACAATTTTTGTCCTTACTCTATGTCACGGCGCGAAAAATACTTGAGTGTACGAGTGCTCGAAATACAACAGATTCTCCAACGAAGTTTATTTTTAAAGGAAAAACATCGATAAAACCCTAAAAGAACAAAAGTATAGTCATCACGATCAATTTCAGATTCGGGAAATTATTGTGCGCGAGGAAGGTATTAGCACCCCACACATTTGTTGTACTCAACGAGAACCGTTTAACTAATTTTGTGAATAAGAGTGTTAGCTTGCGTTATTTGATTTATTTTGATTATCATGCGATTATTTACATAAATAAAGAAAAGGACATTAACGCTTATTCCAAGTACATTTCATTTCTTATATTATAGATAATTACAAACTAAAAATAATTTATAGCAAATCTAAAAAATAAAAAAAGAACACACATAATTATGTATACAATTCGATCAAATTGAGGAGATAAAGGAGTTTTTCGATCCTCTATATTTCAAGTGTTGTTATAAAAAATTTTAAGATGAGTTATAAGAAAATAATATTTCAAGTTTATCAGGACATTTTATATTTTTGACATAAGTGTTTATGATCTCTTATCTTTTTAGTATATGAATCACACAACAACAATGTGTTTAAAAATGTTTATCAATACCTTTAGATATCAATGAATAATATGAAAATTACAAATATAAAAACCTGAAACCTTATGAAATCATATTTGTGGACTAGATAGTTGTATACTGCTGCTAGCCTGCCACTCATCAGGGCACAATTGATTTATCTTTGTCATGCCACTGCTCCGACCATCAACCACCACCACCTTACAATTCTGAAAACAAAATTCTAACTCTTACCACTTGAAATTTTGTAACATACCATGATTTTTCATCTTGACCCAAAATCGATGATGATGTTTATTTAACCATCAATCACCATGTTGTCTTCTCTATGTTAAGAAATATGTGTGAGTTGTAAGTCCTATATTATTTATAAAAGTGAATGTTTGACACTTTATAAGTGAGAAGACTC